ATTTTCTCAGAAAACTTATAGTATCCTTTTATTCCCCAACTTTTCCCACCAGCAATCCCCAATTCATTCTTATATAGCTGTAAAAGTTATCCATGATCTGGCTTCTGCCCCTTCCTCTCTGATGGTATCCCTACTTAGATGCTTCATGTTCTCCATAAGGGAGGAGTTAGAGGAGCCAGCCAGTGGCATGGAGGTTAAGGCAGTGTGATCCCCCATGGCTAACAACATACTACAAGTCCCGGGCCTAGCAACTTGAAAAACACACCAGGCATGTATGCACGTGTGCCCAAAATCCTCAGAGGAAAATGAAGGAGAAGGGATTACAGCATGGCCATCCTTCCTTGTGTGCCTGTGGGAGTGGGGGATGGCTTTTCTCACTTTACCTCTCTCTCTCTGGCAAGCACACACGACCTTTAGTAAAATTGAAAAGAAGAGTTAGGATGACTGCAAAGTTTTTGGCCCGAGTAACTGACCATCTAAAGTAGTCAGCCATTTGCTCTGATGGGGAAAGGTATAGGTGGAACAGGAACAGGCTAGGGGAAGATTTGAGATTAGAACATGTTGACTTGAGAAATCTATTTAACATCCAAGTAGAAATGTCAGCTTAAATATTTAAGTCTGGCGTTTAGGAGAGGGGTCTGGGCTGGAGGCAGAGACTTGAGAGTCATCAGCCGACAGATGTGTTTAAAACTGCAAACCAGGGGCCGGCCCTATAGCACAGTGCTTAGGCCCTGTGTACAGGGAGCCAGATCCCATATGGCTGTCTGCAGTTCAAATCCCAGCCCCAGTGGATTGAAAAACATGCAGGGAACATGTGCATACATGCCCTTAATCCTGACAGGGTAGAGAAATGGAAGAAAAAGGATTATGGCTTAACTGTTCTCCATTGGGGGCTTCTCTCTCTTCCTCTCTCTCTTTCTCCTGAGTGCATATGCCCTCTGGCAATTTTTAAAAAAGAACCCCAAAACTGGATGAGATCATCCTGGAAAGTTTCATCCGTAAAACTTTTAACAGTACTAGAAGGTAGGCACAAGCCATGTGTGGCTGCAAATCACTTGAAATTTTTCATCTAAGTTTTATTTTAACTAATTTAAATTAAAATAGCTATTTGTGGCAAGTGGCCACCCTACTGACAAAGCAAATCTAGGGAGTAAGTATAGATCACTAAGAAAGGAGGGCCTAGCCTCTTTGGCACAGCCAGTAGCATACCAGACTGTGAAGGCGGAAGTCACTGCTGACCGTGGTTCAAGTCCCTGGCCTGGTTGACCTGAGAGCACACCAGGCATGGCTGTGAGCTGCCCAGGATCCTAGCTGGCTTGAGGGACTGGAGAAAGGGTCTCAGTGAGACCAAGCCCTGCAGAGGGTTCGTCTCGCTCTCTCCTCTCCAGTGCACATGCTGTATCATGAATTAAAGGAAAAGAGGCCAGCTCATGGTCTGGTGACTACAGCAGCCGGATCCACATGGCTAACTGCATAGTTCAAGTCCCGGCCCCAGCTGTTTAAGAAACTCATCGGGCTGTGTGTGTATGCCCGAAATCCCCAAAGGAGGGAGAAATGGAGAAGGGATTGTGACATGACTATGTCCTATGGAGGGTTGCTTTCTCTCCCTCCTCCTTCTCTGTCCCTGTCCCCTTCCCTCTCCCCCATGAGCTCATGTGCTCTCTGACGAATTAGGGAAAAGAAAAGAGGACCACTGAGTTCTGGACACTCTGCCATTACGAGGTCAGGGAAATACAGTGAGTCCATAAAGGGACACTGACAAGTAGCAACTAATGAAGTAGAGAGAAAACTAAGAAAGTGGTATCCTGGAAACCAAGGGAAGAAGGTACATCCAGAAAGAACGAGTCATCAGCCTCGTCAACTGTTGCCAACAGGTCAAGTAAGACAAGGGCTGAAAAATGATCATGGAGTTAGCAAGTGACTTTGATGAGAGAAGTTATTTAGTGGAGTAGGGAGCCCAAACCAGACTGGGATTAGATGGAATGACTGTAGAATTATTACTGAACCCTTATGAGTTCTTGCTCCCTCAGCTGTGATTTTCGCCTTCAAAGTTGTAAGCAAAGTGCCTGACAGGTAGCTACTCACTAAGTGGTTACTGCTGTTACCCGGTCCTTCGGGGAAGAGAAAGGAGACTGTTTCCTCAGTTATGTGTCAAATATTTGTCAACTACCCACTGTGTGCTGGGCATCATTCTAGAACTGAAGATTCAGCACTGAGCTAACAAAAAAGAAGACATCCAGGCTGGCTCTGTGGCCTGGTGGTTAGGGCAGCCAGATCCCACATGGCCAACTGCACGGTTCTCCAGCATCTTAAGAACCATACCTGGCGTGTGTGTGTACATGCCCGAAATCCTGAGAGGAGGGAGAGGTGGAGGGGAAGGGATTGCTGTGTGACCATTTCCTGTAGAGGGTGCTTTCTCCTCTTCTCTCTGTGTCTGTCTCTGGTGGGCATCTTCTAACAAGCAAAAAAAAAAAATCCCTAACTTCGTGAAGCTTACCTTCTCACACTGTAAGATCTCCCACAACTTCACATGCTGATTACGCACGGATCTGTGTCTGTAGGACTTTATTAGACAGATGATAAGAAGCCGTGATGAAATGCTACTTTTTTTTAATCTATCAGCTTAGAAGGACCAAAAGCTTTACTAAATGCTGATAAGGATATGGAGAAATAGGTATTAAGATGTCACTGAATTGCTGGTGGGGTGACATCTGGGAAACAACTTGCCAATGTCCGCCAAAATTTTAATTACATACTATATCCAAGGAAAAGGCAAGGGGGGAATGGTGTGCATAAAATATTTCCCTTTGAGTTTAAATATATACACAGAGAGGGATCATATTTGTTGAAAGGGTACGTAAGAGACAGGTACTTGCCCTTGGAGAGGAACTGGGGTGGGGGACAGCCAGAGGCAAGAGATGAGAGGGGGACCTATCTTTTTCAGTATACCCTTTTGTTTTTTATGTCATGTCCACACATTTACCTAGTCTAAAACAGCCCTTTTTTAAATAACAAAAAAAGATTGTAGAGTATATAACAGTAAATAACATTAAAGCACTATGATGCTAGGGGCCGGCAGGTGGCATGGTGTTTAAGGTGCTGGACTCCCACATGGCTTACCATGGTTCGAGTACAGGACCTGGCGGATGGCTGGCTTGCTCTTTCTTTCTTTCTTTCTTTCTTTCTTTCTTTCTTTCTTTCTTTCTTTCTTCCTCTCTTTCCTGTTCTCTCTCCCTATCTCTTTCTGATCAAACTAAAAATAAGTAAATAGATGAATAAATAAATAAATAATAATAAAAATTTTTTAAAGCACATGGTGCTAGATACATTGTTTCGGGGGGATAGTCTTAAATGAAGTTTATTTTGTCTTAAAAAGTAAATTTAGGGGACCAGAAGGTGGCATGGTAGTTAAGGCGCTGGATAAAAAGTAAATTTAGTGGGACCAGCAGGTTGGCATGATGGTAGTGGTCCTGGACTCCCACATGGTCAACTGCAGTTTGAGTCCCAGACATGGTGGCTTGCTTTCTCACTTTCTCTCTCTCTCATTCCTTCTCTCTCCCTCTCTCTTCCCTTCTGTCTCTCATGAGTACATGTGCCCTGTAACAAATTTTTTTAAAAAAAATAATAGTAATAATAGTAAATAAAATTGAATAAATATTTCTTTTTTAAAAAAGTAAATGTAGTGTTCCAAAGGCATGACTTCAAGTCCTAAGTCCACATAGGAATGTCACAATTGACTCTCTATCCCGTTAATTGAAAACTAACTGCCTCTTCATCATCGGGAGCTTGCTTACCTTTCACCAGGACACCTCTGCAACTTGGAGACTGTCTGAACAGTTACCATGAAAGTCCCACAAGAACAAATACTCTTTCCGTTCATGTTTTCAGGTGTTTTAGAAAGACAGAGACAGACAGAAAGGAAATGTGGGGCTTGGTTTTCTTCCTGACTGTCCGTAAGCGTGTGTGTCCTCTGATGGAAGATGTTTCTGTTTCGTTTGGGGCCACAACTTCCCAAACGGATGATGCTGCTCAATATCGTTTTTAAAAATGTCCTGTGAACGATTTACCGAAATTACTATCCTACAAAGATTGAGTAGTTTATCTTTCTTTGATGACATGAGAAAAGAGAAACCAGACAGATTTTAATTTTGAAATTGATACGATCTCCTTCCTGTTGGTAGCTTCAGAAAAAGCTACAAAGAGGGCCACTCACTTTGGTTATGAGGCCGTTTGGGGAAAGATTGAAACACCGGAGAACAGCAGAGCCACCAAATAAAGCGAGGGGCCGAGCTGGTGTGTCAGCATGCCCGGTACCCAGTATCAGAACTACCCCCTTTTTTTTTTTTTTTTTTGGTTTCCATGGTTTCTTTTTCTTGGTTTATCAAAGGATTCAGAAATGAAGATTTTTAAGAAGAGGTGGAGTTGTTAGAAGCACCATTAATTTATATGTCTTATTCTTTTTTTATACTCAGGATACTAAATGTCTCTAGTTCCCATATTATGAGAATATCCAATTATACCAGGATTTTCCAAAATGCTTCGAGGGCCTTGAACAGAGGCCATTGTGCAATAATAGCACAGCACTAGGTATTTGACAGAGGGCTTGTACATAAAGGAGATGTATAGTACAAGCATAAATTACTGCTGCACCGACATGTCACAGTGAAGCACTCTGCGGCCTCTTGAATATGAAAAAATATTTCTACATTTGGTTCCAGAAAAACACTATTGTGCTGTTCTGAAATCTACAGCGCAGAAAGGAGAAGACAGCCGCTCGCACACAGAAAGCAAATCACTCGTCAGCATTTCCGGTTCTATTTCCTGCCAATTTCAGATCATTGAAACTTTTTAAAACCTTTGATTCTATTCTGCTTTAATTCTGCTTCCTCTACCAAAAAGGGAAGATTGAGAAATGAAAACCCTGTGTACGTAGTAATAATAAATCTTTGCCCTTTTGTGTTTCTTACCCTGTGCTGTTACTACTTTCTTCGCGATCACAGACCTCAGGATATCATTGTGTTCATAATTGGAGGGGCCACCTATGAAGAGGCTCTGACCGTTTATAACCTGAACCGAACCACGCCTGGAGTAAGGATTGTCCTGGGTGGAACCACGATACACAACACGAAAAGGTAACGGAGAGCATTCAGCCCTGTAACTCTGTCCCCTTTCCCAGTGAACAAGGCTTAAATTCCCTTTGTGTTGGAAAAACGTGGTCTATGTTCACCAGACTGCTGTAGGCCAATGCCCTGGTGTTTGCAGCATCAATGCATGGAATAATTTAGAGTTTGTAAGATGAAGGATCTACAGTCCATTAAGTTCCTAAGTCATTTATAAAGGCCAGGTCCTAGAGAATGAGGACCATCCTGAACTGCTAACAATGTGTGTTTCCAACGTTCAAAGAAGGAGAAGTCTAAAAGCTGCAGGCTGACACTCTGAAAATACCTGAGTATATTAGCATTCAGCCCTGTGTTTGTCTCTTTTTTTTCTTTTTAGTTTTTCTATTTTGTTCATTAATTACATTTTTCTCAGTAAGTATTTAGTAAGAAGATACCAGCAGTTGGCGTAATGGCTATGTCGCTGGACTCCCCCATGTAGTCGACCGCGGTTCGAGTCTCAGACCCAGTGGCTTAAACTCACGCCAGGCGCATGTGTGTGCGTGCCCAGGATCCCAAGAAGGGAGGAGAAGGGATTGAGGCGTGGCCATCCCCCTGGGGGGTGATTTCTCGCTTTCTGTCTCTCTGTCTCTCTCTGTCTTTCTGGCGAGTGCACGTGCCCTATAGCAAAAAACCTCTCCAAAAAGAATAAAAAAAAAAAAAAGATACAAAGATGAGTAAGCTAAAAATCCTACCTCAAGTAAGTGGCTGTCCATTAGGAAAGATAGAACATTTAAAAAAAAAATTGTGCATGGAAAGACGGACATAAAAGAGCCATGGAGGAGTCAGCACATGGCATGGAGGTGGCTGGGTCCCACATGGCGTGGAGGTGGCTGGGTCCCACATGGCGTGGAGGTGGCTGGGTCCCACATGGCTGACTGTATAATTTGAGTCCCAGACCTGGCAGCTTGAAAAAGCATGCTGGGCATGTGTGCGTTCCCAAAATCCCCTGGGGGGGGGAGTGAGTTCTTTCTCTCTTCATCTCCAGCAAGCATATGTGCCCTATAGCAAAAAACTAAAAAAAAAATTTTAAGTTGTTTTAAAAAGAGCCATTGATGTTCTGAGTGGCTAAGGTAAATTAACAAATGTTTCAAAGAGATCATATGGTCATACCAGTTGTGTCACTGGACTCCCACAAGACTGACCACAGTTCAAGTCCCAGACCCAGTGGTGTGAAAATCATACAGACCACATATGCAGGCGTGCATACCCAAGATCCATGGAGAAGGGATTGCGGAGTGGCCATCCCACCTGGGAGGTGATTTCTCACCTTCCCTCTTATTGTCTCTGCCCCCCCCCCACTACCTCCCTTACTCAGGAAGCACACGTGTCCTAAGGCAAAAACCTCTTAAAAAAAAAAGAATTAACCACATGAATGAGTGCAAGTAATCAGCCAGCTGGAATGTGCATAATAAAGTGAAAAGATTGATTAAATGTCATGATTGTGGAAAGCCTTGAATGCCAGACTGAGGAATTACTTTCTTATGTAGAAAATGGAGAAATAGAGCTAGCCCTGTGGCCTAGTGATTAAGTGAGCCAGATCCCACATGGCCAATCATGGTTCCAGCCCTGGCTCTAGAGGCTTGAAAAACACTCTGGGCACATGTGCATGTGTGCTCCGATCCGGACAGGATGGAGAAATGGAGGAAATGTGAAGTATGACCAGCCCCATTGAGTGGGTACCCTTCCCTCTCTCTCTCTCTCTCTCTCTCTCTCTCTCTTTCTCTCTCTCTCTCTCTCTCTCTCTCTCGTAAGCGCTTGTGCTCTCTGGCAGTGGGGAAAAAAAAGAAAGAAAATTTAGAATGGTTGAAGATCCTTAAAGCAGTGAAATTACAAAAGGGTCAGTGCTTTTTAGGATGATTAATTTGGGATCAGCAGGGGCATGGTGGTTAAGGTGCTAAATTCCACATGGCTGAGTGTGTAGGTTCAAATCCCAGACCTGGTGACTTGAAAAACATGCCAAGCACATGCATGTGCATGCCCTAAATCCCTGGTGGCTAGTGGAGGAGATGGGATTGTGGCATGCCCATTCCCCAGAGGGAAAGGTAATGATTCCTCACTTTTCCACTTTCTCTCCAGCAAGCGCTCATGCTCTGGCAAAAATCTAAAAAGAATAAAAGGAAGATTCATTTAGCAGCTGAGAGTAGAGGAGGAAGAGACTGGAAAACCATGGCATGATGGTTGCCTGTGCTCATCCGAGAGGGTGCAGGGTGTTCTTACCCCATGGAGAATGGTCACACTACAGTCCCTTCTCCATCTCTCCCTCCTTTCAGGGTTTTGAGCATACACACACCATGTATCCAGCATGTTTTTCAGGCCAGCAGGTCCAGAACTGAACCATGCAGTCTGCCATGTGGGATCCAGGCACCTTCACCAACCACACCACAGGCTGGTCCTATTGTTTAGTTTTTTAACATAATTTTTCTTCTTTATTATTATGGAAGTAATATATGTTGATTCAAAAAAAATTTTTTTAGACAGATTTTTTTTCTATAGGGTGCATGCACTCACTGGATACACAGAGACAGAAAGTGCAAAGTCACCCCCCAGGGCAGATGTCCATGCTGCAGTCCCTTCTCCTCCAGTCTCCTCTCAGGATTTTAAGTACACACGCACACACACCCGGTGTGAGTTTTAAGACATGCAGTCAACTACATGGAAGTCCAGTGATGTAACCATCACACCATCTGCTGGTCCTTTAAAATTTTTCCTTTTTTTTTTGAGAGTTTTTTGCTATAGGGCACATACGCTCGCCAGACAGACAGAGACAGAGACAGAAAGCGAGAAATCACCCCCCAGGGGGATGGCCACACCGCTATCCCTTCTCCATTCTCCTCTCGGGATCCTGGGCATGCACACACACGCGCCCAGCCTGAGTTTAAGCCACTGGATCCGGCACTCGAACTGTGTTCAACTACATGGGAGTCCAGCAACATAGCCATTACGCTAACTGCTGGTCCCTAAAGTTATATCTTTATGTCTACCAGAATTTTATTTTCGAGTAAACTGTGCAATAGGGTTTTCTTTTATCAATTTTACCAAAAGATTACATTGAGAGGTTCTTTTTCTTCTTGGCATCAAACATGTGGTATCTTTTCCAAAACCACCTCTCCAATACTCTGGACACTAAGCAGCTCCTTAACAATTCAGTTCAATTCTAACATTGTCTACCTGGAGTTAGCATCAGGTCTCACAAGTTAAAGGGGCTCAGTCCCACAAGACTGCCCCCACTTCAAAGGCCAGTCCCAAGCCCCAGACCATTGGTACTTCTGACTGGCCAGCTATAAATTGGGAATTCCAACCACTTTCTGAGATTTGATCATTTGCTAGAAAAGTTTACAGAACTCAGGGAACACTTCCTTTGCATTTGATAGTTTATTATAAAGGATACGACCCAGGAACAGCCAAATAGAAGAGAGGCATAGGGTGACGTACCAGGGTGGGGGTGCAGTCTCAATGCCTGCTTCTAGCACACCACCCTCCTAGCACCTCAGTGTGGTCTTCACCGGAAGCTCTCCAAATCCTGTTTAGGGGGTTTGACAGGGCTTCATTATGTGAACTTGATTAGTTAAATCATTGGCCATTGGTGATTAATTCAGTTCCAGCCATTCTCTCTGCTCTAAAGGTCGGAGGGATGTGGTGAAATCTTCAAGCTTCTAATCAAGCCTTGTTCTTTCTGGTAACCAGCCCCCATCCTGAAGCTACCAAGGGGTCTTTCAAGAGTTGTCTCAGTGGGACAAAAGACACTCCTATCACTCTTTTCATTCTGGAAATTATAAGCATTACAGGGCTCTGTGCCAAGAATTGGAGACGAGCACTAAATATCTTCCTATGATACCACGTATGTATACATGCATACTTTCTGTACGTACAGGACAGTATATAAATGATAAGCAGACAGTGTCATAAAGTAACCTAAAGTGGACCAGCAAGTGATGGGGAGCTTAAGGTGCTGGACCCCACATGGTCAGCTTCGTGGTTCGAGTCCTGGAGAATTACGCTGGATACATGTGTGTCATGCCCAAAATCCTGAGAAGAGAGAGAGATTGTGGCATGGCCATCCTCCCTGGGGGGTGATTTCTCACTTTCCCTCTCTCTCTCTCTGGCAAGTGCACATGCCCTATAGCAAAAACTAAATTTAAAACACACACACACACACACAATTAATACAGCTATGTATTCACAGAAACAAAACACTACCAGCACCCCTTGAAGCCACCCCTCTGTCACAACTCTTAACAAAGTAATCACTATTATGATTTCCGTCACCGTAGATTAGTTTTACCTGTCCTTAAAAGACACTTGTTAAGTGACTGAAGAAACAGAGGCTAGATTTAATCTATAGATACCTTTCTCACAAATAATACCAGGATCTCAGAATGTTTGAACTCTAATCATCTTCCTCTCAATGTAGACATTATCATTACTCAGTGTTTTGGTTCCATCTTGTTTTATAATCCCCGGTTAATCGTTATTATTATTTTCAGTAGTCAGCGTTTATTTAGCTTTACCCATATATCTGCCCCCTTTCTTCCTCTACGTTTTTTTTTAATCCTTGCCCTCCCTTCGATCCAGTTATCATCTTAGTTAATAACGTTCTCTAGTATTTCTTTGAGCTACTAGTCAATTTAGGTTTTTTTGTCTAAAAATGTGTTAATTTGGCTAAGTTAGAATTCCAGGTTGATCATTTTATCTTAGCATTTCAAAGCAAGATGACAATAGAATATTAGTTTCAATTGTTGCTCATAAGAAGTCTGTTCTCAATATAATTGTTTTCATTTATAGGCAATCTTTTCTTCTCTGATTCTTTTTATAAGATTACATTTTTATCTTTAGTGTTCTAGTTTTCAATATTCTATATCTAAATGTGGATCTATTCTTACTTATGTTACTTTGTATGAAAACTCATGTTTGGCATAACTTCTGAAAATTTTCCACTCATGATTTTTCTGAATATAGCCTCTGTTCCATTTCCT